TGGAAATTTGGTCGCTCTTTTCTGAATTCCTTCTTGAAGTTCATTTGTTTCGTGTGACGCTCATCATTGTCCAGAATAGAAATTATCTGTTTCAAAAAATTCATTGATTTTTGAAATATGAGCTAATTAGTTCAAGAAATGAAATCTAATTCAGATAGACTTTTTTGTCATAGAGAAATGACCAGAAAAAAAAACTATCTTTGATATTTTCACCAGTTATGGTATCATTTAACAGTTCAATTATTTATTCTAAACAATAATCATTGCAACATGGCTAATTCACTTTTTTTTTCAAATGAGGAAATCTTTGTGAACTTATAAAATTCTCACATTATTTCTTGGTAAATTAAAAGAAAATATTGATAGAGTAAGAGAAGAAATACCGCAAAAATACAAAGTTATGGTTACTTATTATTTGCACTAATCTATTAATATTTCTATTTAAAATCTACAAAAGTACATAAATTTTTTTTAAATTCCAATAACTAACTATTATTCAATAATTGCCTCTTACTCGAAAAATATAATCTAAGGAACACTTGCATATAATTATTAATAGCCTGAAGAGTAATATTGAAGTTTAGTATTTAACAATGGTAATTTTCATCAATAAGACAAAAAAAGTTGGACCTTATTAGCTAAAGGATTATAATTCTCGAGAGTATTCATTTGCTGCGTATTAATTGAACCATCCATTTTATAGAGATTCTGTAATTATCGCAACATTATTACTTTATTAATGACAGTTATCATAACTTCTTCAACAAAAATCTTGAGTGAAAGCACCGAAATAAATCTTTGCAACTTTTTTTTCTTTGGTGAAAATTTGCAAAAATTAACCTGTGTGATGCTAAAAAGTCTGGATAAAAAATTTTCGAACGGTCCAGTATCAAAAATTTGATCATTTCGGATCCATGTTGAGGAAGGTTGTGCTTCATATAGTGGCATCAGTACGATGATAAGATAGGCAAATGAATTTAGAATCATCCTTCTTCCTCGTCTGCTCATCTCTCTTCAGCAATTTGCTAAAGGAACTAAACGAAAACAAGTTGTTGCAAAATAAGTTGAAACAGAAGGATTTTACTCAGAAGGAGTTGATCGAATCAGGAAGAGGTTGATTGAATTGGAATGTTGAGAAAGAATCGAATAAGTTTGAGGAAAAAAATTGATTGAATTTTGGTAGCAAAATGTATTCAACCTATTCTATTTATTCTTTTAATGCTGAAATTTCGTTGTCGATGATGATGACAGGCTTGAAACGAAGGAGAGGAAAGGAAAGAAAGATGAATGTATAGATAAACAGAATGCCCTAATTACAATATTACACATTTAAATCTCAAATAATTGTTTACATTGTAAATTTAATATTACTTTAATAAATTTAATATTCCCTGGATATTTTTCTCTCTTACAAATAAATAAAATGACATTTTGTGGGATTTATGAATTATTGAAAAATACATGTAAGCGATATCGACTATCTTAGCCTAAACGGATTATATTTAAAAATAGATAATCCATTTCGAAATAAACCTAATTTAGATTTTTTTCGGCGAGCATATTTGAAAAAAGTATAGCGTCACAAATGATAGAGAAAAGTTTGGCAAAGAAGCGAATATACGACCCTATAAATACTTTCAAAAATTAGAACAAGAATTAGATGAGTCAGCTTTTAAACATTTTTCATCCGAGTGTCCTTCAAAAGAATAAATTGCTGGTTTTCGTTTAAATGAAACGACAGCAACAGATGCACCGCACAAAAGGATATTAATTATTGTCTGCAGAATCTTTCATGTACCTCCGCACTTCAAAAGTCAAAATTTCAATTATCACCTCTCGTACGTAATTCGTAATTAAACACCTATCTTAACTATTTTATCCATTAACCTTTCAATTCCAATTTTGTTGTCTTTGTTGCATGTCTTCTTTTCTAACTGTTTCATTACTGAAATTCTTGCTGCCTCACACATCGTACTGATAACAATCTTCTTTTCTAATGACCTTCAGTAAAGAGATATCATTCTTGAACGATTAGAAAATCTTAAAATCAATGCTAGAAATAATGATATTATAATATTTCAATGATGTGAGTCCTTTCCGGTGACAGAACTGTATCAAAATGACCAAAAAACAACTTTTCAAACAGAAACTCAAGATATTAAGAATTAAACCATTGGACTGTCGGTTAATTTAAAGCAGCTATGTTTTATTTCATTTTTTGTCTTATTTATGAAAGTGTATACAACATTAAATGCAATGAAGGAAGAGATCTTAAATGAAAGAGATTGTAAATCGTTATCACTGTGCTAAACTCGACCGATTACATTTTCCGATTCATCATCAATTTCTTTTAATTTCTTTTCACACAGAGATAACAAATTTTTTGATGCATTTCGCAAGGCTTCGGGCTGTGAAGTATCGCAGTAGGCTTTGGCCATTTCTATGGCACTTCGCCAATCTGCACTACGCGCTTCGATTGAACGAAAAACAATATCCAATCTGTAAATAGAGCTTGTTCTTTAACAAACGCATGTATTTTAAGGGAAAGGTTTGAAAAGTAATAAGAATAAGATTTTTTAAAACGGAAGGTTTAATCATAAAGCAAACTGCCTATCTATTACTATTGTCACCACTACGATTAATTAATTAAATTGGAGAAAGATAATGGTAGTCCCAAACTGTTTTCCAGAAAACTCAGATTATAACTTAGCGCAAAACGTTATCCAAAACGTCTGCTGATAACCGTCATAGAACAATTCACTGAATATCGAAAAAACCTAATATTTCTACACATAAGAATGAATAAGTCGCCGACTTCGTCATTGTCTTACAAACACAATCTAGATATTCTGTAGCCATTACTTCCACTTCTCACTTTCACGTCATAAATCTGAATCAAAAATTACTGCAGTGAAAATACATGAGAAATTCGCAAAATTTACTTTTCCAGAACAATTTGCTGAAATTTATAAGCAGCCGAATGAAAATAGGCTTGTTGAGCATTAGCACTTGCAGCACTTCGCTCCAGCATGAATTGATGAATTAATGGCCATGCTTGAGGAATAAAACGACGATAACAGAAACTGCCAGAAAGTTCACACATCGTTATAACAACCTATAATACAGTTATGCTCAAGTGCAAAAAAAGAAAATAAACAAGTGTTGAAAACTATTTATATAATGTGAGCATTATTAAATATAGTAGAAATTCCTTATAAATTAGGAACTTCATAATTCTGAAAATTCCAAAACAAAAATTAGTATAGACTAAAAAGTAGAAAAACATGAAAGGAAAGAATAAAGAGAGCACATAACACGATACTTAAAATGATGCAAAAATAAATCAACTTGAAAAGTTAGTTAAGATTTCTGAGTAAAGTTTCGGTACTAAGAATCAGAATACTTTTTCAGACATATATATATATATATATATCACTTTCACTACAACAAGTGCAACAGAAATAACAAACTGAAACTTTCAAAGCAATAACCTTAAATCCATCCAATCGTACATTCAAGTTTTTCATTTGAAGACAATCAAAAACTGCAAACCAGTTCTCATGAATCATCGGTAGATAATCGTCCGGGAAGTGTTGTAAATCTTTCAGGCATACATCCAAGATTTTCAGAATTAATAAGCGAATTGGTACATGAGAAGAAAAGAGAAGATGCTTCGTTCTGAAATATCAAAAATTTTGAAGTGAATAAAATTTCACCACAATTGTCTGCACTTTATATTATATAGATCAGATAATAATCGCAAATTCATACCGAATTAGTTTTAAATTAGAAAACGACCCCAAACATTTAATGAAAGGACGACTAAATATACCTTTTCAAAACATTGTTCACAGATTGAACAAATTCAGGTTTTGGAACTTTCTTATCTGGATCATCTTCACTGTACTCAACTTCTTGAGGCCTGACATCAGGAAACCATTTCCCAATAGCTACTCCAAAACTAAGCATGGCCCTGAGAATTAAAATTAGCCATTCCTGAAGCACAATAAATCTGATATATTTCATAAAAATATAAGAAAAACAAATTCAGACAAGATTTAAAAATAAAAATGTACCTGTGACCCTAAGTCAACTGCAAGCAAGAGCTCTTGAACAACATGACTGGTGATCTCGAACAATTCAGGATTTTCACAATGATCGAGCAATGAAGACAGTACACAAGGTGTGCGAAGATTGCTACTGTAAGCTCTTGAACGAATTGCTACTTTCGGTAAGAGATATTTCCCATAAGTAATACAAAGAGAAGATATATCAGCTTCTCCAACTGCCTGAAAAAAAATCTAAAAATGAGAAATCTGAAGCTGCTAATTCCTCTGTAGATTCACTAAGAATCCATAAGAATCTGAAAAAAACTCAAGATTCACTGACTTGAAAATCTGCCACAGTAACAATATAATTATTTGTACAGTAAGACAAAAAATAAAAATCTCAAATGAAGCAAACTTTCCTTCGTTCTATCTAATCAGTGAATCAAGAAACAGGGTTTTCAATTCAAAGAATCAAATATTCTACGAAACAAACCAAAGCGGCAGCTTTTAAAGCGTGTTCAGCACTTTCTGCACAAATTATGTATGATGATTTCGTCCACTTAAATATTTCGAACAAAGTTTCGTTCATTAACTACAAACAGATCATAATAGAAATTAAGAAAAACCATGAGTAAAGCAAAACAAATTGAAGAGAAGTTCCAATCGCATATTCATGCTTCAACTTAATTGTCAGATATTTGATTAGCCTCAGACGAAGCTTATAACATAAAATGGCATACCAATTGCAAATTTTGCTGCTTCTTAAAACATATTTTGATATTATTTGAAAAATTGAACAATTTAACCTTTTGGCATAAGAAAACAGAAGGAGTACAAGTGAAAGCAGCAGCACAGAAGGATAATAAAATGGTGACCAGACAACTCTCCATACCTTGCTCATCATTATCATCTGTAATTCAGAAATTCAAACTTTTCGCTCAATTTTTAGACTTGATACAACTTTGATAACTAATTAGCGTTTTGTCCCGTTAAAGTTTTTTTGTCTCAAATTTTTATTTAAAAAATTAAACATTAACCTTCAATGATATCGTCCCGTGGTGGACGATGTATGTCGATCCCTTCTAGCAGTTTAACTGCTTGTTCGACCAGTACTTGTAAAATATCAATAAATTTTTGATTTGGTGTAGTAACTTGTGTACAAGCTGCTCTTAATAAATAAACAGCAAAATGATAACTACCCGTCAACTGTTCCAATTCGTTGGTGTGACCAATATTTGCTGAAATACAATCCAACAGAATCTGAAACATAATACAAACTCAATTTCTCAACGATTTTAAAAAGAAATTTAAACTTCTAAATATTAACTATCTCACATCTCCAACTCTACGAATACAAAGGGATTAAAAAAAAAAACTTCTTAGCACATTCTTTGATGTAGAAAAAACCGTTGAAGCGTTAATTTTCCCGTTAAAAACTTTATTATAAATTTGATCAAAATCTTGAAATACAATATAAAATTAGAAACATATAATTAAAAGCAATGAAATTCACGAAAACAAAAATAACTTGCATGGGAGTGTTTACTTGTAGCTAACAGCACAGCGATCTGATTGATTGTTTTTTTTTCGACACTGTGCAGAAGTGGCAAATCGTCTATCACGCCTGAAAAACAAAAATAAATAAATTTCTAAAGGACAAAGAATTTTTTAAATATAGTATGTCTATGGAAAAGTGAAACTTCTTTTTTCACTGATTATTAACACTAAAGAGAAAATTTTCCCGATACTTAAAATCATATGCTAAAGCTCTCCGAAATATATATCAGAAACAGCATCATTCTCTATTACAAACTTTATTCAAATTATTTGTTGAATTATTAAATAAGCGCCTTTCACAACTTTTTTAAAAACAATTACTTGCCTAGAACATAGCTTTTTTCAGTAACTTCACGGCTCAGACGTAATCGCTTAACATTCAACTGAAGTGTAGATGATATTGCAAACATCAGTTGTTCAGGCAACTTCCCACCTAATAAAAAATCGTCGCATTCAGAATTAATTGAAAATAATACTCCCAGCAACTGAAAATTGAGTATAAGTACAAGGGTCTGCTTCTACAACAAATGAAATCGTCTGTTTCAACTAGTAGAATTCCTTCCTTAAGAAAAAATTTATAAAATAACAAAATTCTATAAAAAATTTAAAGCAACAGGCTAATGATGAATAATTTTTCTTCGATTTCTTGAACAAATAAACACTCACTGAAACTAAAACTGCTTTAATTTTTAGTGGAAATACTAAAATAGAAACTAGGATGAATACAGACTATCTGCCAAATGCTTCCTTCACCATTACTGGTTACAAAGCTTTGTTTCCTTTACCTGTTTTAAACATCCTTCAACATCTCCGCTAACCATGGCTTCCGTAGGTATAGTACTAGATAACGAATACAAGCGCTCTCTCAAACGATTAATGAAACTTTCTCTTACTGTAAGCATTAAATGCTCCTTGATCTTTCTCGAAAATTCAGCAATTCTGAAAACCATCAACAATAATGGTGTGATTAAAGAAGCCCTTTTGTTACTTTTCAGACTATTAAAAAGTTTTTCCTAATCCAATAAGAATCTTATAAAAATCAGCGTTCAAGAATTAATAATGTTTGACATCAAATTAAAACTAGTGCACTGAGATACAAACTTCTCTAAATTAAACAGCAGTAAGTGCACAAAAATTTATGAAATAATAAACTTACTTTTCGTATGGATCATTCAGCAACAAGAGAACAACATCAATCAAAATATTTTCAATCGAGGAAGCAAGACTTATAGCACAATGTATGTAAATATCATGTAAAAGAATAAGCAAAGCAAGTCGAATACGATGATCCTGATGTCGAACGAGTCTAGAACACATCCGTCTGAGCTAAAATTAATTGAAAAATCAACATTCCATTATAGCAGCGATAGTAATAAAATCGAAAAGAAATAGTGGTAACTTACAATTTCAATTTTATAAAGTTTTAAATATTGCAATTTATTGGGTAACAAGTCAGAAATGCAAATGACTCTCTAGTTAGATTTTAATAATACTATTTCAAAAGTCAGGAGATTAAGAAGAAATAACAAAAACTGCCAGTCTTTATGGCTAGTTTGTACTGAATACTCGGAAGCTTCAGATGTTTTATCTAAAATGAGCTTATGACGTCAATATTTCCTTGTAAGACTATCATTTTTGGATGATTTAGATGGAGCAAGAGAGTGAAAAAATTAACAAAACGTAATCTTATAGTAGATCTATTCGATGAGAAAAGTGTCATTTGAGAGAGAGTATCATTCATATCAGTAAACACACCGCTTGTACAAGTTTTCTTTTATTCTTTTAATGTGAATAAAGCACTTGACTTAAAAAAAATTTTGCACAAATCAAAATTAACTATGATTTTTAAGCAATCTATCGTGATAATATATAGCAAAGTTTTTTAAACTAAATTGCAAGAATATATCTTACCAGAAGTTTCAACTGCTTGTTCCAATCTTCGACGTAAATAATATTCTTTCCAAAAACAGTTTTAGAATTTCTTGGCTTGCTTTCAGCAATTGTTGAATTTTCTATTTTACCCTGCTTACTGACAACGGAATCATTCAGGCAAGTAGACACAATGCAGCCAAAAATCTGGAACACTCCATACAATCCATTAGGGTTCGCGGATAATTTTTTTAATTTCTTATTTTTGTTCAAATTTTGTTTTCAGATTTCAAAATGCAGCATCAGCAAACTCGAAGCCTTAAGTCGTACTAATGATAAACACAAAACAATTCCTGTCCATTTCCAAACCCCTATAAATGCTTTTAATAATATTTCCAATACCTTCAGTGCCATATCTACAAGTGTCGTATTCAGATCCGTAGAAGCAAGTGTACACATCTTACAACAAATACCGGGAAGAAATGATACCAGTGTTTTCACCGATTCATCCCATGGTTTGACAAATTCAAGTAATATGTTTCCTATGATAAGCCTGAAAAAAAGCATTATACAAAATTTCACCTGGTATTCTGCCGTCCCAAAATTTTATAAACGTTCAAGTCTAATACCGAAAACAAATAATTCCATCCATTCCCTGCAATCTAGCTTTTTAATAATCCATTTTAAAATCTCAGATTTGAACAAAACATTACCTGATCGGAATATCGACTTTTTTCGAACAGAACTTAGATAAGAAAAATGTTACCATAAATGCAAGTTCTCCTTTGTGGTCCTTAGAAAACAAATCTGAAGAATAATCATTTTGACTACTTTATCGATTTTTTTATTTGCTAGTACGATCATGAACAAAGTCAGATTTAAAACTAACCAAAAACTAAATCTAATTACAAACCTTTCCTATTTCTTTCATTAGAAAGCATAAATCGAACAAAGTTTGCCTCAAATTTTGCAATTCTTTCCAAATCAACTGCATTATCGACTTTGTTATCACCAATTATAAGGCATCTACTATTGATAGACCACAAAAATGAACGCAAGTCTTCCGCATCCTGAAGAATCGAAAAAATTATAAGCGAAATCCAATAAATTTTAATACTTTCATCTGAGAAAAAATCTTTGCAGTATGGACGACACTGGAATGTGCAATATTCCATAAAGTAAACATCGTGAACAAGCAAAACTTCCATTCCTAGTAATAAGCAATAATCTGAGGAGAAATGAACTGTTTTCCTTACTTTTTCAATTACTAATCTCTATAGGAATATTATCAGAAAAGCAGAGAACTACCAAGTTACGATTTTTTTTCCCATAAAATTTTCCCAAAAGTAATGAATCATTAAGTTTTTTACTAATCTTCCAGATAAACGTTAAGTTTTCTAGAAATTTAAATTTAAAGTCTGTCATTACAAACGAAGAATTTTAAATGGATCACTTACCTCAGCCTTTAAGTTTTCAAAAATATTGTTGATTATCTGCAAGGCGAAATTAAATGTATGTTGATTAAAGCTATCCTCACTTTTCATCGATTCTTTCAAAATAGCAAATGCTGTGCCAAAGATAATGCAATTCAATTTGATAAGTTCATCTTTTTTCAAACTCTCCTCTTTTAACTCGTCTAAAACTAAAAATTAACTGATTAAAAAAAATGAATGAAATAAGCAAGATAAATAATAGTTACGGTGGTCTCCTTTCCAACTCAATTGCATAGAAAGGTTCTTTTCGATCAATTCATCAATTTCATTATTTAATTATCAATGTTTGCATTAAAACAAATAGTTGCTGGTTAAGTACATATCAATAGATTACAAAGAAACAAAACTTACGTTCAACAAATGTTGAAAACTCAGTGATAGATCCAGGTGAGATGACACCTTCCGAAAATTCCTTGACAATTTTGATGCATAACGACTGCGTAGTTGTTCTTATATCCCGAAGATAATTATCGTTCTCAACTTTTGACATTGTTTGCAAGGGGATTATTTCACTTAAGAGAAGGAATTTTGATACTTTGATGTAATAATAACAACTTTACATTTTTCATACGTGTCGAATTAGTTGATGTGATTTTAAATTTTAAACATAGAAAAAAACAATTTATTTCTAGTATTTCTTTTATTACTACTTACAGCTGTTAAACCAACAAAATAACTGCAACAACAAAACCATTTTCAAATGTAAAAAAGAAATCCGACTAATTCACTATGAAGCCATGTGGGATAAAATTGCATGCCACTGTAGCATGCAATCTTCAACGAAATCATATGTTTCCAGATTAATGAATGTTTTTCTGCGAGCTGTTCACTCCGGTTGAACGTAGTAGAATTCATTGAAGGTAAACTGAACCGGAGATAAACTGAATTTGAAAGTGAACTTTAATTGCTGCAAAAGAATTTCTAGTGAAAGTGAAATGTTATAGAAAAAAATTGCAATAAATACACAATCTTCAAATGGGAAAATGCTTACGTTGAAAGTTGACAGGACTGAATAAATGAGTAATAATGCATTCAGATTAATTTCAGTGTTTTATATTTCAGTTACATTCTTTAAATTTAACTCATCCTCTCAATCTTTGTATCATTTCACTAACACAGGCAACAAAAATATATTTAAACATGAAACCATTTTCAAATGTAAAAGGTTAGTTTATATTATGAAGGTTATTTCGGGTTCCCAACCTTTCTAACTGAAAGAATTAGCACCTTCGTTGTTGTCTTTTGTTTCTGTTTGAGGTTGCTGTTAGGAGCTGAATTATCTTCCTTTAGTTCTGATTATTTAGCAACTTTATATTGTCCTCTCGAGAAAACGGCAGAAATAAAAGTGAAAACAGCAGAAATAAAAGTTTTCCATTTGTTTCTTTAAAAATAGATGTTTCGTATGTTAGTTGGAAGAAAATGGCGTGGTCGTTTCTCGAGAAATCCAATGGCATGCTTTTATCTGGTTGCATTTTCAGTTAATGCATGAATTTAACTAGTAATTCGAATACTGTATCAGTTTGAGTTAGTAAAGTACTTTACAGTATAACAATAGGTTATTATTTAATTTTATATATTTCCTTCATTTTCACAATCAGTTTTTTATATAATATATTTTCGACGCTATCAGTATAGTAATAGACGTGGACAGGTAAACAAAGTAACGAATTATACACACATTTGTAAGGGTTCGTTTTTTATAATACCTTGGCTGTATTGGCGGAGTAGCAATCCATATTATCAGTAATCATCAATGCTTTCCAACCGGCTGCATGATGGACAAACAAGCCATTCAGCATTTGATCGGTGAAGGTTTGGTGAGAATCGACATGCAAATGACCTCATCTTTTCCCGTTCTTCTCATAGGAAATTCTTTTCGAGCATTACTTTTCTCCCTACAACAATCTCTTTGAATCGTCTTCGTTAAGGTAATAATTTGCGAGTTCATCTCTCTACAGTCAGTCTTTAATGCAAAATATTAGCTTATTATCAAAGATTCCTTGAAGTTTAGACTTCATTGAATTTTGATTTTACATAGGTAGATAAAGTGGATATTACTGAGGCAGGTTAGATTTATTCCCAAAAATATGGGAAGCACTGTAACATATCGATCTATTGAAGACAACTATAGTTTATATTATTGATAGTTTAGCTAAGAGATCGATTAAGGAATTGTTAAAAAGTTTTCAGCTTCTTCTGATTCTTTTTCAGAAGGAGCACTTCTTCTAGGAAACGATTAATCTTAATTTAACTAAACTCTTCAAACTGTTTATATTTAATTTTATTTATTCAGTATTGAATAAATAATCATTTCATGAATTTTTAATAGCTAGAAGTGTAAATCATGCTGACATAGTGTGTTCGTTTACGTTCATTTCTTCCCGATGAAGGAAAGAGTATTTTTTGCAAGCAACGTGTAATTATGCTGCGAACTTTCTCATTCTTCCTGCATTGATTTAAATGATTGCTTAGGAAAAAATAGTGTTGTTGGAATATCGAGAGTTGATGGTGATGGTAGAGTCTTAAAAAGATATTTAAGAAAGTATGGGCATCAAAATGGAATGGTATATTCATTAGCATATCATTTAGGATGTAATGTTGGAATCTGCAACAGAGCGATATCAAGAAATTTATTAATGTCGTATCATTTTACAACGTAGCAAGGTGCAGTAAATCTAATTTTATCTTTAGAATTAATTATCAGTTGATCAAGAAATTTAGCAATTCCTTTTACACATAACAGCATAATTTACGGATTAGAAGATATAAATGAAGTCACTCTTCTATAAAGTGATTTTTTTTATAGAAGAAGATAGCATATTTAGAGTAAGATCATGCTGGACATTGGGCTAATTTTATTATATCACTCATTTGATATTGAGCCTATCGCATACCTTTTTCACTATTTCTCGATGCCATAGAGAGCAAATGAAATTCTAAAATTCTCTTAACTACAATGTAGCAGTTAATTTCCATACACCTTTAACATCTTTATCAAAGCCTATTAACTCTAAAAACGATTATTTCTTTGGATGAGATAGCAGAAAGTAACGTAGAAGAGATGCAAAGAAAGTAGCATGAGCAAGTAAAAAAGAATTTCCTGTTTATTTAATCAATGAAGCACTTCTTCATTTCTTTCCTTATGTTATCCGCTTTGACAAATAAAGCTAATTAAAAAGTGGAAAAGTTTAATAAGCGAATTACTTCAAGAAGCCTAAATTTCTAAATTTTTTTTTCAAAAATTTACATCATTTCATATTCTATACAGCAATAAGGAATTATTTTTCGATTGGATTATGTACGATAATCGATGGCATCCTGCTAGCGGTTGGATGCATGTTAGGGCAACGATTCATCATCAAAAATGCAAATGATCTGAATTCCGTGACATTGATAGAGACATCAGAATAGCATGCAGAAATTGTCACTGTAGGAAATATCTTGAAATGGAGATGACCAAAGAAGTACGTTCTTTCTTTTTTCAAAAATTTTAATCTGATTCCAATTGGATTGAATTTCAAACTTTTATGTATTATTCCATTTTATATTTTTCAGAAGTTTTCCATAATAATTGATATTAAAAATCTCCAAACTTTCATTCTCTTTCGTGTGTGCAAATCCAATTTCCTTGATTGCTAAGCTGTTATCGGTAAAAAAAAGTATCGGCTTTAAGGAGGTTGAAGTTAATGCCTAAAAAACTTCAGACATTGAAAATTATTATCATGGTTTTCAATATGGCGATTGCTGTCGTGAAAGTATTTTTACTTATATCATTTTTCTTTGCTTCACAATGTGACTTTTATTTCCTTCTGTTTTTGGTTTGACTTTTTTTCCTTAACTAATGAAGGAACCATGCTGAAAACTTTTTACTTAGCGAAATAATGATATGGAGAGTTAGACCAGCTTACTGCTTTTGCATAGCCATTAAATTTTGTTAGAGTAAAGACCACTTCATACCACATCTTGCAATATGTATTTTGCATTATTTAGTACCAGTCGGACCAGCGTTTGTTGTTTTTAATGTTGTCCTTTATTTTAACATTGCTAATTCTTCAGACAGAATATCGGAGATTTCGGAAGAATCAAGTACCCGAATAATGGAATATCGAGTAATTGCTGACTTGTTTGCGGTTTATTGGTTTTCCAAACTATGCATTTTCACTCTTTTATTTCATGAAAGCTTTTTTTCTTGCTAAAAGCAATCAGTCATTAATATTTATTTCTTATAATTTATTCTCAAACTTGTAAACATCCAGAAAAGAATGAGTTGAATTTTAATAAACAACATAATAAATGAATTTTTGAAAATTCATTTATCTTTCACCACTTTGAAAGCGGTGAAAGATAATAAATGTACGTTATTGAATAAATGTACGTTATTATACGTTATTGATTTGTTCTTCCAGAACGTTTTAGAAATGTAATTTTGACGATATCAGCAATAATGTCAGCTGCATCGGCAACTATCGAAAGCTGTCATCAGCTGATGCGTCTATTTAAAATTGTTGCCTGCGATCATATTTTCCGAGCAGTTACTTTTTCATATTATGCAAACATATTAATTTTATATATTAATATTATACGTTCAATTGTTCATAAAAATTTTTGTATGTTATTTTATCATTAATAATGTTTTAGTCTTTTGCTCATAACTCTTTGCTGAAGAAGTTCATTCATTATCTCTTTTTTTGATTTGAAAAATTTAAATGAATAATTTGTATGAGTATTTACTAAAAAAAAAAATGAAATGCAAACGCAGTTTAATTTCTAAGAGGCCAAAAAATTATAGATTCTATTGTTATTGAAAATTTTTACTGTTATTTTATCATTGATGTTTGAATCGCAAAATTCTTTGCTTAACAAACTAAACTTGTATAGTTAGGATAAATGAGCTTAATATAAGCACAAACTGTAATCATCAATAAAACAGTTTAAACAATAATTGAAACCAAATGATTATTCTTGTAAGTACACAAAACATTTGTTAAGAATTAAATATTTCCTGAGACTAATTGGATATGAACATGGTAATTTATAATTGTTATTATTTCCGAGTGTTTAAATTGTAGTTTCTGTTGTTTTCATCTTTGTTAAAAGACTTTCAGATTTATTTTCTCCATTTCGGATCAAATAAATTGTAATCTGTCTAATGGATAGAAAGTCTGGTACATAAATTTTTCAGTATTTAGTAATTTCGTTTAACATTTAAGAATAGCTGTAAAGAATTTCTTTTGAAGGTGTAAAATAAAAGGATGCTAATCAAAAAAAGGAAATTTAAATCTAATTTGGCTAACCACGCGAACACTTGATATCAATGCATATATAATTTATAGGATATTTCATTTAATTTCAAATTGTAATAAATAATGGAAAATAATTAGTGCCTAATATTCTTTAACAACAAAACTCACAAGCTTAAGAGGTATGATGCCCTATTTGTGGTATATTTTTTGGAACTTTCCCCCGAAAAGTATGTGATTACAACAGGAG